GTATGAGCGCCTTTTTTTTTTTTAAATAGAGGTACTGGGGATTGAACCCAGGACCTTGAGCATACTAAGCATGAGCTCTACCACTGAGCTATACTCACCTTCATTGTCTTCTTTCTAACTCATGTGGCCCATTAACTCTACCATCTACAGGAGAAACAGAACCCAAAGTCTGAATTTCACTTGGAGAATTTGACAATCTGTGGATCAAATCTGTTTGTAGCAGGAATAGAGACAACCGCAAGCACCATGAGATACAGGTTCCTGCTCCTAATGAAACACCCGGAAGTTCAAGTCAGCAAATATCCTAGTGGCCAAATAAAAGATGAGCTCCTGGTACTGATGAGAGCAGGAAGACACTGATAGTGATGATTTCTCTTTGTCTGGGCTGCCTTAGAGAGCATCATGGAAAGGGCCATCCATGTGGCTTTGTGTTTGTAGATCAGAATTATATCAAATGATGCTGATATGTAAGAGAGACCTTTAAGAACTCAAAAGTCTCTCAGTTAGGTTTAAAAACAGAGCAGCTTCTGAATCCCAGCTCTTCTATATGTGATGCAGTGCTGGAGAGCAAGCCCTATTCAGATGAGGGCTGCGTGGCTTCCCCTGCTGGATTCTTATCCTGGGCCTGCCAGTACCTGGCTGTGTGACCTCAAACAAGTTATGTCAACTTGTAGGCCTGTTTTTCCATCTTGAAAACAGACAAGATTCCTCAAAGTGGAGTTTTTGCATCAATATAATTTAAAATTCAAAAATGAAATTGTAGTAGCTCGGTTTTCTCAAGCACATTCTCAGAGCACAGGACTTGGAAAGCTAGGGTTTATATTGTACAACATAATGGTTTTCGCCATTCTCACAAAATTTGTAGCAGAGTGAATGAGTCTGACCAAGGAGACGCTCCCACCAGAGGGAAGATCAAACATTTCTCCTCTACAGCTGCTTTGCTAGGAATCATGGGATAAATCTTAATCCCTGCCACGGAGGTCATCTCCTCACCTGTACAGGAGGACAACCAGTTCATGCAGGAGGCTGAGGACATGCCTGACCTAGCTTTTATGTTTCCTGCAGAAGACTCTCTGGTCTTTGCAGCAAAATAGAAAATAGAATTTCCATGAGGAACAGAGCATGGGCTGTTTAACAGCATGTCTTTGACCTTCGGATCCTTTTCTAGGCCACTTTCCATTAAACATTGTAAGCATTTTCAGGTCATTTCCAGATCTTCAAGGGAACATTTCTTCAGTAGCATTCATGATTCATGTCTCTGCAGCCAAAGTTCATGAAGAAATTGATCGTGTGATTGGACGCAACCAACGCCCCTCCATGAAGGACAAGATGAAGCTGCCCTATACAGAGGCCATGGTGCATGAGATACAAAGATACATCACCCTCCTTCCTTCTAACTTACCCCATACCGTGGTCCAGGACACGAAGTTCAGACAATACATCATCCCCAAGGTTAGAGTTGTCTGGGAATCTGGAAAAGCTGGCTGGGATAGAAGGGGCAGCAGGGAACCTCAGTGGGGCCTCTGAGAGGCATCTCAGTTCTGTTTCAGGAAGAGAAGCAATTGAGAGTCATGGAACGAACACAGGGTCAGAGTCACCTGGCCTGGGTTTGAAATCTGTCACTGCCTCAGGCCTTTCTTTCAGTTCTGTGGTCCTGTCTCTGCCTTCCTGGAATAGGGGGAGCTGACCTGGGGTTTCTCAGGCCCCCTCCCACTCTCATATAAAATGTATTAAGGGAGAAGTGACTTGCATTAATGAGAATCTCATGTGAACTGAAATCTGGCTTTTCATGATGGATTTTTAAAAAAGGGAAGAGATGGAAAATGTGTCTGCAGCTCTAAGATAATCAAGCCTGGCTCTCTTCCCAGGACCTCATATATTCAGAACCTGTGAGATAGTGCTGTCCATAACAGTCAACATTTGCAGAAAACTTAGCGTTTGTCAAAACATTTACGTGCACCTTGGGCATGCAGTCAGTCTTCTGTAGTTGTTAAGGGCTTAGGTTTTACATTTAATCCATTCAAGAGTATAGAGGAGGAAGAAAAGGTGCCAAACCTGTAGAGTACTACTAAATAGAAAGAGCCCCCATCTTACCGACAAATGTCAATGCAAAAGTCTACTAGCACTCAAATCTAGCATCACATTAAAAATACTGTACCACCAACAAGCAAAGGTCATCAGCGACACAGGCGTGGTCTCACACCAGAAAATACTTGTGCTGAGTAGTCATTTAAAAAGGACTTTTAAAGTTCCTTTATTTATATGAAGTAAAATACTAAGCAAGCCAAAGAACATTATAGAATGCTACTGTTTGGAAAAAGTGGGAAATATGTCTGTCTTTTTCTTTAATCCATATGATTTCTTCTTAAGGATATATTGTAACTGGTAACAGTGATTATTACATTAAAAAGGAAACTAGGAGACTTGAGTATGGGGAAAAGAAAGAGACATTTTCACTTTATACTCGTTTGTATGTTTTTTTGGTTTTTTTTTTTTGGTATTTTATACCATGTGCATGCATGCATTACCTACTACAATAATTGTGAAATAATGTTTCAGGAAATATAAAATGAAGTAAAAATAGAAAAAGAAAGATTTCACTTAAACAGAGGTGCTTTATGATCAGATAGAACGTGGGTCAAATTCTAACCATGCCACTTGCTAAAAATATAACCTCAAGCAAATTATATTTCTTCTCTTTGAATCTCAATTTCTGCATTTATACAATGTTAGCCCCCCCAGAAAGCATACTGGATATGGCTGAAGTGAGAATTAAATGAGGTTTATAAACAACTAAGCACAGTGTCAGGTGAATATGAAGTATCCCATGTAAATGGCAGTTATCATTATTATGTTGTCATTTATACTTCACAAAATCTTATGGGGCAAAGAGGAAAGCCTATTGTCACCGCACCCCATTTTATGAGTGAGGAAAGTAGGGTTTGACCCAATAGATTCTGTAGATTACAAGGTTCCATATCTCATTTTCTTCCCCTCACACCTGAATTCAGAAAGAAAAAAACTGTGAAAAGTTAGCTTTCCCCATTGGAGGCAGCAATTCCAGTAAAGCGTGAATCTAGATAGTATAGGTTGCACACCTTAGTTTTTTCAACAATTGATTATTGCACATTGACCATAACATTGTTCTTTCCACAGGGAATCATCTTATTACTCGATAAAAGGTATTATATGATAGGGAGTGTGAAAGAGCCATCACATAAGACAGTCCTTGCCAGGCAAGCTTAAGAGAGCTTGGTCCTATTTAATCCACTATAGTTAAGAATGTCAGACTTTTTAATGAACCAAAGATAAGCATGATAATGTGCCACTCCACTCTCCATTTCTTGGTTCCAGGGCACCACTATATTGCCATTACTGTCTTCGGTCTTGTACGATTGCAAGGAGTTTCCCAACCCAGAGAAGTTTGACCCAAACCACTTTTTGGATAAAAATGGCGGCTTCAGGAAAGTGCCTTTTTCCATTGGTAAATACAGATACACCCCCTCTAAACCATACATTTGCACATTTTGGACAACTTTTAGCTTCATTGAATATATGGCATAAGTAATCCACTGATGATAGTAAAGTCAATCAAATCAATGTTAGAAACCCCTATATCAGGATGGAGCCATTTAAGTTTGTATACCAGTGGGATCAGGTGAGTATTCCAGAGACTATTTTGTTCTTTGGTGATTGAGTATAATGCCAGTTTTTACAGAAACCAAGGCAAATCAATTCAATTTAGACATCACACATTACCAGATGATAGAGCGACCTGATTTTGCAAACTCTCAAACTCTAGTCTGTTGATTTCCCCTTTGTGATGTTGACTTTTCCTAAACAAAACATTCCAATTTCTTTTAAAATTATTAACCATTATTAACTTTGTTATTCTTAGAGTCAGAGGCCATGAAAGAGACCTTGGCCACTTCACCCTTTCTTCCCCTCTGAAATTGGGAGCCTTTTTGCAAGAACTGTTGGCTCCCAGTTACTATTTCCCATAAGCTCATAAAGGCAACTGGGGTTGGTCAGTACACATTCTTTCTCTTTGTTATCCTATTCAATCATTTGATTCTTATTTTCAAAAATAACAGTTAATATGTTTCATTTCTAATTATAATGATAGTAAGTATTCAGTATAAAAGATGGAAAATGCAGAAAAGCAAAAAAAAAAAGAGAAAGAAAAAATTTTGCATTTTCACCCTACAGAGACAATCACTGCTAATATTTTACTATATATACTTCAAAAAATTGTCTATGTATACATAATAGATGTATATTCCAAAATAAAATCTGGTTCATTCTGTGCAATCTATTTGATAACCTGCTTTCACTTAGTGTGTTGTGATAAAAGACAGCCTGTAGTATTAAATAATATTCCATATAAACAAGTTTAGGTTGCATTGTATGATAGATGCACAAGGATTTATTTAACTAATCCAATATAGATATATGTCTAATTTTCATCCAAGTCTTTAGTGTCATAAATAACAAATGCAAGTCACAGCTCATAATTGGATCTCACTCCTACAGATAAATCCCCAGAAAGAGAATTACTGAATTAAACAGTGAAAATTTAGAGAATTTTGTTATGTATTGACAAATATCCTTCTAGAAAAACTATACCAATTCATTGTCCTCCAGCAGTTTCTGAGTGATCCCTTTTCTTTTTGTCTTTGTATTTTGTTTTTTTAATGGTGGTCTTGGGGACTGAACCCAGGACCTTGTGTGTGCTGAGCACGAGCTCTACCACTGAGCTATTCCCATCCCCTGTCAGTCTCTTTTCAGGTTGGTGTTTTCAATGGCTCTTAGGAGCCTCTAGTATTTGAATATGAGCTATTGTATTTGAATTTGCTGTGAGCTAATGGAAATGTTTCCTCCTTCCAGGGAAACGGGCCTGCGCTGTAGAGGGCCTGGCCCGCATGGAGCCATTCTCTTTCTCACCACCATTCTGCAGAACTTTGTCCTGAAGCCCCTGGTAGACCCAAAGGAAACAGAGACCAAACCCATTGTTACTGGGCTTTTCAACTTGCCACCACCCTATAAGATGTGCCTTATCCCTAGATAAAAGAAGAAATTTTCTCTTTTAATAATTTAAACCAAAGTAATTAATTTTTCCTCTTACTCCCTCTTTCACCCTCTCTTCGTTTTAAATACTGCCTAGGATGGAAACACTACTTACTAAAAGTTTGATAGACATTAAGTCTAAAAATTCCTTGACAAAAAGGAGCTGGATCCTGAAAACTCCAAGGGTACAAACAGTACACTTATACTCTTTACAGTGCTTTATAAACCATGGTTCAGCAGAACCAAGACTATACCGACAGAAGGCCTCTATTGGGACAATCAGCAAATAGTGAAATAGATTTCACTCTGTCTGTGGCTTTGAAGATAAGCTGATTTTCTATAGTTTTGCAAAATAGCGAAACTAATATAATGATCTATATATATTTTTTCCAATTTCCAATTGAAAGCACTTCTATGATTTATTCACAAAATAAATTATTTTTTTCCACAGTAGATTTTCTTTGTATATTTGACTTTAAGCCTCAAAAATCCCTTTCCTTGAGGAGGGGCCTTCTATAATTAGAATATGGTAAATAGATGAGATTAAATGATAACCCCCATAACAAATCTCTCCCTGCCCCACCCCATCTAACTGAAGCCATTGATTTCCAGGGTGGCCCAAGGAGCCCCCTTGAATAACCATATCTGCAACTAGGATTTAGACATGCATAGAGGCCATCTTTTTCAGAAAGTGGTGAGGGGCGGGGCTGGGGGTTGGAGACCAACAGGGTAGGTTGCAAGAAAGACTGAGAACTGCCAAGAGAACAGTGACCCAGAAGAGAATGCCCAGCAGTGACCCAGTGACATGCTGTGAGTAGCAGCTGCCCCAAAAGGATGACTCAAATCCCAGCAGGCAGCCCAGCCTCCAGGACACTGGGAGGGAAAGAAGTTTTAAAAGCAGAGCTAACTTTCTGGGCACATATTCAAAAGTGAAAGCAGGGACTCCAACAGATATTTGTACACCCATGATCCTAGCAGCTTATTCACAATAGCCAAAAAAAAGTGGAAACAACCCAAATGTACATCGGTGGATGAATGGATAAACAAAATGTGATGTATATGTACAGAGGAATATTATTCAGCCTTAGAAAGGAAGGATACGTGGTCTAACACAAGCTACAACTTGGATGAACCTTGAAGACATCATGCCAAATGAAATAAGCCAATCACAGAAGGACAAATATTGTATGATTCCACTTACATGAGTAGTCAAACTCACAGAGACAGAATGTAGAATAGTGCTTGCAGGGGGAGAGGGAGATGGGGGAGTTATTGTTTAATGAGTATGGAGTTTTAATTTGGGAAGATGAAAAAGTTCTAGAGATGTATGATGGTGATGATTACATAAAAATGTGAATGTACTTAATGTCATTGAATTGTATACTTAAAAATGGGTAAAATGGTAAGTTTTATGCCATGTATATTTAACCACACACAAATGTATGCACACACAAGTAGAGCTGAGGTACTTGAGTTAGACAGGTGGGGATTTGGAAGCTGTAAATTTTGGATCTAAATGTTAATATGATTTGCTCACATGTATCTTGCCTTCTCCCCACCCCAACACTCCTTCCTAGCTAACAGGAATTTTGCCTTTTGTCAATCAGATTCTCCTCCTTTCATGCATCCCGAGAAGTTTTGAAATGGCCAGTTAAGTTCCCTGACTCGGGTTGAAGAACTAGTGAAATAATGAGAGACTAGACAGAAAAGAAAACTTTAGTTTGGGAGACCAGGTTAAATCACATAATGAAGAACATAAAGAAAAGGGAAGAGAGAACTAAAGGGTGATAATTGTGGGGAGAATTCAGTTTGATTTAGTGACTTTGGGGAGACAGGGAGCAGACAAGTGAGAAATTCTAGGGAAGCTGCTGAGAGCAAGGGAATTGAGGAGCAAAGGGAAGAGAATGGAATTATGTCTGTGGCTTAACATTCTTTAAAAAACAGAAATAAATAATGGCATTCCCTTTTAGTTATTTTTGGCAGTTAGACTGTTCTCTTTACATACATGTCCCTTCAGAGACTATGCCACGCAGGGTCAGCTCCACGATTTTATTAGCCCCACAGGCTATGAAATCTGGAGCCATTTGGATTGCAGATCTAACTGTCCATTTGTACACTGCTGAGATGAAACTGAAGAAATATCACTTTGAGCAAGTCCCTTAATATTTCCCAACCTTAATTTCCTCATTCATAAAGTGGAGATCACAACACCCACTTTCAGAGTGGTTGTGGAGATTAATTGAGCTAATGTTGCATTAAGGCAAAACCATTCATTCAAGATGTCTAATAGAGCACTAAAATGAAACTCTCTGTTTCCATTTAAGCTGGGACACCCAGGCAATAGATACCAAACATGACCACGTTCCAAGATGTGGTGCTAGATTACCCATCAGAAGTTGCTACGGGAACAGTTTGCTAGAAATCGTTGCTCCAAAAGTAGTTTCTGCAACCTTTAGCCCCTCATCTTCCAGGAAATTATCACAAGATTGAAGTTGAGAAACAGTATTTCTTAAGCAAGAGTAGTCAGAATGTTGTGTTTCCCCACTCTCACCAAGAGGGATAGAAGGAGGATGCTTCCGCCTCATGGTTAACTGAACAACTATTTAGAAAGATTGACTCGTGTTCCTAGGACTGGGGTTGCATAGTGTACTGAGGTCTGAGATATACCTGGGGAAGTCTTTGAGAGACAATGGCTGCAGCTAGTTTGGAGTGGCCTATACTCAGAATTCCTTAGGTCAAAGGATGTGTGGGTGTTTCCCATAGATAAGTTGTTAGCCTATGGGAAAGGTAGACCTTAAAGGGATTCTGCCCAAGAGAACACCACGTAACTTTGGGTTGTGGGCATGGTTGGCTCCTCCTATATTAACAAAGTTAGGTCAGAAAAAGTCTCTTCTAATTCAGCAATAAAAAGACAGCCCAATTCTAAAAATGGGCAAAGGATTTGCATAAACATTTCTCTATAGAAGATATGCAAATAGCCAGTAAACACATGAAAAGATTCTCAGTATCATTAGTCACCAGGGAAATGCAAATCAAAACCACAATGACATACCACTTTACACTTACTAGTAAGGTAAAATTAAAAAGACCGACAAAAACAAGTGGTTTCAAGATGGTGGAGAAGTTGGAATCCTCATGTATTTCTTGTGTGAACGTAAAATGGTGCAGCCACTTTGGAAAACAATTTGGCAGGTCCTCAAAATATTAAGCATGGCATTACTTATTACATATGACTCAGCAGTTTCACCTAGATATCTACCCAAGAGAAATAAAAACACACACCCACACAAAAACTTGCACAAGAAAGTTCATAGAATTATTCATAGTAATTAAGAAGTGGAAATAATTCAAATGGATAAACAAAAGATATTATAGCCATACAATGAAATATTTTCTGACCATAAAAAGGGAATGAAGTAAAAACCTGCTAAAACATGGACAAAACTTGAAAGCAGCCAGACACGAAAGATCATGTATTGTAGGATTCCACTTATATGAAATGTCCAGAATAGACAAACCCACAGAGACAAAAAGATTAGTGGCTGCTTAGGGCTGGAAAGTGATTGCAAATGGATATGGGATTTTCGTGGAGGGTGGTGAAAATATCCTGAAACCAGATGGCAGCGATGATTGCACAACTCTGTATTTTATAAAACCCACGGAACTGTACACTTAAATGGGCGAATTTTATAGTATGTGAATTATATCTCAATGAAGCTGACTTTTAAAAAAGATAATTTACACACAAGTGTAAAAACATCAGTAATTAGCACAAATTGTCCTGATAAAATAGAAGTATGATGACTAGTAAGTACTTCATGGCTCATGGGTATTTTGTAAACCCTGCCTCAGGGCACACAACAGTCAAAATTCAGGTTCAAGGCAGTATCACAGGTCAAGGCAAGTTAGGACATCAGAAGTATGGAGTTGGAACAGACTAGTAAGGTGAAGGGGAACATCCTAGAACCAGGCACAGCCAGAACTGGAGGGAACTGGGCCACTTGTGGGGAGTCAACAGTCTAGTCTAGAGTTTTCAAGGGAGCTTGGCAAACTCAGGCTAGATTGAAGCTGTTGTTGTTACGGGAAGGAAGAGATGGGAGAGATGGCTTCAGTTTCATGCACAGATCCTGTCTTAAATAGTAGGTATTTCTACAAAATTAAAATCACACTGAGAAAGGTTTAGGACAAAATACCTTTGGCCTTAGTGATATAAAATGTTAAATCTCAAAGGCCTTACATAATCGGTACAGAAAGTTATAATATATTGGGTGGTCAGTTCTAGCTCTGAATTATCAGTGAGGCTGGACTCAACTTCATATTTATGGTCATTCTGGATGAAGTAACCCACATGAATTTCCATTCCCGGGGCGCTTATAAACCAAACCCAAGAAGCTTGCTCAGGACTCTCTCCTGTTTCTCTTCTCCATTAGTTTCTAACACAGAAGGAATATGTTTCTTCAGTGATAATCCAGTTGCTCAAACTGAAAACAAACTTTGGTCTTAGATAACAATTATCTTTATCTTTAGGATCAGTGCTTGCTTCAGGAGGGAGCATAGAATAAAACAAAGCTAATAGATTTTAAAATCTGATCATATCTGACATTTTCTAGCTGTGTGACCTTAGGCAGGTCTAGACTTTCTCTGCTCTTCATCTAAAAAATGGAATTAGTAACACCTACCTTTCAGGTTAGGAGATTGAGGACTAATGATAATATATGTATTTTCCCTGGCAATTAGGAGGCGCTCATAAATGATGGTTTTGATTATCAAGTCATTGAAAATTCTACCATAGTTAATGCAAATTTAAGTTTTTAGACATTCTTTGTAAGCTAGTCATTGCTTTTTTCCACTCTTTCCTGTCTTAATGTGTAATATTCCAGGTTTAGTTACTATTATATCAATTAACATTTGTTATTATATTTCTCTGGTATAGTAGTGATATGTTGGATTTCCCTTACATTTCTTAGTATTATATTATAGTCCTCTGAATCTAAGATGCCATCTGTTTTAAGATACATTTAGGGACTAAAATATGAAATAAAGAGCACTTTAGAATCAGTGAAACATAGTCACCCCTTTCTACATTTGGACCCATAGTCTGTTACTGGTCCAGTTAAGAGGCTGCTCAAAGTCTGATACATGTTAGTTCCTTCCTCCCAGATGACCAGATCACTTAAGAGTCAGGCTCCTCTTTTCCAGCTAACCTTCTGCCTAATACTCTGAAACCGTCATACCTAATATGATGTCATATCGTAAACACATATTACATTAGTTTTTTTCAAACTCAAAAAGAACGGCTTTACTCCCAGTAAGGAGGATTACACAGGTACAAGCTATTGACAAATTAGGCAACCCTGGTACACAGAATGGATTCAGAGTCCATGCCATGCATGCTTTCCCCCGGGCTAGAGGGCAGCCTGAATCAACATGTCACTGAACCAGTGATTACCCCATTGGAAGCAGGGTTAATGAGGGCATGTGGAAGAGCCTGGGTTTCTGGAATTCCAGTTAGTCATTTCCAGCCCTGTTGAAAAGTCAACAAAATGTAAGCACAGAGGAGACAGTTCATTTTTTGTTACTGCTCTTTATCATGTGTTTAACACCTGTTATATGTCAAGTACAGGCGAAGGACTGGGAATCCAGAAACAAATAAGATGTTGTCCCTCGTCTTCAGGGCCTTATGCTTTAATCATGGAAAAACCCAAAATTACAACATAATGCTGTGTTTGTAGAGAAGTATGCACAGAACTTTCTCTGTGGAAACACAAGAGACAGACAACTGCAATTAGACCAGGGGTAAGTGGTAGGAAAGTTTTAGAGAAAATGACGCTTGCGCTTGATTTTGAAATACAAATAGGAGTCGGCTAGCTTCCAAATGGAAGAAGAAGAGTTGTTTAAAAACTCTTTTCATGTTGGTGTATTTTACCATAAGTTTTAAAAACTGGAGGAGAAAAAAAATGCAGAGACCTTTGAAAGACTGCACGTTTTTTGGCAGGGCCAGAAGGAAGGAAGGGTGTTGGGAAAAAGGCGATCTGATGCTGGAAAGACAGGGATCACCAGGGCCTGGAGGGCCTGGTTGCGGGGAAACAGATGTTTGGATTTAACGGAGGAGAACGGAAAACCAATAAAGGGTCTGAAGGGTGGGAGGGAGGGGCTCGCGCGGGACGTGACGCGGCTGCGCTGAAGGCAGACCTCGCCGGCTGCCGCGGGAGCGGGGAGTCCCGGGCAGGAGGGCGGCTCCAGGCAGGGGTGAAGGAGGGCAGAGCGAGGCCGTGGCGGTGCGGGAGAGGAGCAGGAATCCGCGGCGAGGATCGGCAAGAAAAGAGACCGGAGAGGGCTTCAAGGCTGAGGGAACGCGGAAGGTGAGCGAGAAGGGAGACTTCAGAATGGCTCCCATGTTTCCGCCTTGGGCAACAGGTGGTGCCATTTCCCAAGGAGAGCTGCTCTGGGGAAACCAGGCTGCCTCTGACGGCCCTGAGGATGCGGTAAAGGCGGGAGGCGTCCTAGCAAGGCAGTAGGAAAATTCTAAATACAACTGACATGTGCATCGCACTTTACAGTTTACACAAAACTGTTACGGAAAAGTGAGGCGTGACTGGAGCAGACTGTGTGCTGGGGGGCGGGTTCTGAGGGAAGTTTATCTGCTCGGCAGGAGCAACCTGTTTATAGAGAGAGCAATGAACATCCAACCTTGGAGGTCCAGCTTGAGTCCCCAAATGGAGGATAGCCCAGAAAAGCTGCATTTAGAGGCAAGAGTATTCAAATAGTTCGTCTGGCAAATTCCACTTAAAGTTAGTGGGGAAAGGGCATTTTGAATTCACTTCCAACTCTGGAAACCAACTGAAAGCAAAATAAAAGAGCAAAAGATGAAAAAATATATGTCCACCTTCAATTCAACAGGGGAAAAGTTATAAACCAAAACTATGAAGAATGACTGCCAAATGAAGAAAATTTTGACCTAAAATATAGGAGAACACAGAGCCAACACATTTCTGCACAGACTCTGGGAAAGAGATCAATTTACCAAAAATTGTGTCATGCTCCTGAGAAGTACAGCCAGTGATCTGTGGGTACGCAACAAGGTCTAAGATCTGACTAAGGGTGGGTCAGAGATGGTCAGTGTTCTTCAATGTCTGCCCTCTCTTCTCATTGTAAGAGAATTTCTGGTTTTTCTTCAATCAAGTATTGTTGATTTACAATGTTGTGTTAGTTTTAGATGTACAGGAAAATGATTCGGTTATATTTATATTCTTTTTCAGATTCTTTTTCATTATATTGATATTGAATATAGTTCCATGTGCTATATGAGACCCTCTGATTTTCAGCTGAACACAAGACTGGCTGAGATTAAGACTACATTTTTCAGCTTCCATTGTATGTGGGCACGACCACGTGACTGCCTTCCAGCCTGGGAGATGTAAGTCGGAGCCGTGTTTAAAACTATGGAACGTTTGTTTTTGTCTTCATATTTGTAAGCAGTTTTGTTGAGATAGAATGCACAAACCACATATAAATGGAATCATGCAATGTGTGTTTTTTTATGACTGGTTTCTCTCATTTAGCATAATGTTTTCAAGGTTCACCCATGTCTCAGCATGGATCAGTACTCCGTTTTTTTTTTTTACTGCTGAATATGTATCTAGCACATTCCATTTATCCATTTGCATCAGCAGGGTGTGAGCGTGGGAAGTTTGATTTTAAAGAAAGAAGGTACACTCCTTCCTGGTGGCTGGAATGTGACCGTGACAATGAGGCTGGAACATCTGTCTGGACGATAAGGTAAATATATGTTGAGACAAGTAGAGCAACAGGCTAGAAAGAGCCTGGGCCATTTGATGAGCACAACACTGATCTTGAACCACTTGCTTCCAGACTCCATTTATGTGAGAGAGAAGTAAAGCTCCAATCATTTGGCATTTTCTATCTAATCCTAAAGGATGTAGGGTGTTAGGGGGCAGGGAACATTAATAAAAAATCAGAGAATACAGAGAAAGCGTTTCAGGAAGTCAGAAAAGCAGGGAGGTGGAAAAAGGAAGAGTTCAGAAAGAAAAAGAAAAGAAAAGAAAAGAAGAAAAGCATCACAGAGCTCAGTACAGCCTTGGAGCACCAGGAGGAGCACACGACCTTTTAGAAGAGACAATGACAGCTTTGATTTTGTGGCAGGTTTTGACAAGTAAATGAAACTTACTGCAAAGGCTGGATAAATGCACTTTGGAAAGGCATCAACCTAATTCCATGGAAAAATAAATTTCTTTTAAGTTTGAATTACATTTCTGTTGAGATCTTTTTCCTTCTCTACAAATGTGTTTGAAAAAACACGGCAACATAATCACCATTCCATAATGATTTCTGGTTTTTTTTTTCTTTAGAGCCATTAGTTGACAACTAGTATTTCATCTTGCGAAGAGACATTTTTCTAAAGGTAAGTGATTCCTTCAACTTTATTTCAACTTCTTTTTCTTCTGTTAAATGTAAGATATATTCAATATAGTAACTTTTAATTTTACAAGCATAAAGACTACGATCCTTTTTTTAAAAAAAATTATTTACCGATCCTATCTGCCGATCCATTCTTTAATAAACATTTAGTGAGCAACTCGTATGTGTTCAACATTATCTGGAGCATTGAGGACAAAGCGGTGAAAAAAAAAAAACAGTAATCCTTGCCTTCATACAGCTTACATTTTAGTGGTGAGTACAGACCAAAAAAGGAACAATTATATGGTGTGCCTTTAGATAATGATAAGTATTATAAGAACCAAGTAAAGAAACAGAGAACAATAAGGGGGGTAGCAGCCAGGGACTAGTTTAGGTGGGAACATCAGGGCCAGTGACCCTAAGGTGGTGACATCTGAGTGTGTACTTAAGTGATACAAAGGGAAAAGTCATGCAAAGATTTAAGAAAAGAGCATTCCAGGCAGGGGAAATAGCAAGTGTACAGGCTCTGGGGTAGAAATAAGCTTGATAGGTTCAAGAAATAAAAAGGATTTTGTGACTATTGCTTACTGGACTTTTGTATCATTGCAAGAATTTTTTATTTTAAGCATGATGGGAAATCACTGAAATGTTTTGAGTCAGAAGGTAATTTGATTTATGTTTTTAAAACATTCTGGCTACTTTATAGGGAACAAAACGAGTAGGCCGAAAAAAAAAAAAAGCGGGGGCGGTGGTGGGATGGAGAATATTAGAGGAGGCTACTGTCTTATCAAACAAGAAATTTATGGCTGTTGTTACCATCCAAGCAAGAAATATATGGTCATTTGTGGACTAAGATGACAGTGGTCAAGGAGAGAGAAATAATTTCCAGACCAATTTTCAAAGCAGTCTCTGTAACTTGCTGATATGGAGAATGAGATAAAGAGAGGGACTGTGGATGAGTCCTAGGTTTTGGCCTAAGAAATTGGGTTAATGCTGGTGATATTTGCCAGAACAGATGTTAAGAGTCATTGCAGTAAGACTGATTGTCACGAGCTGGTACCAGTGGTTACTTCTAGCTATGGGGTACAGGGGTGATATCTTAATTTGTTTATCCTTGTACTTTTCTATGTTTGTACAACAAATGTATTTCATTTTTACATAAGCATATGAGGTTATTTTTTAAAAGAATCATTTTTCAGGTACCCTTAAGAATGAGAAGTCAGATTGGGGACAGTTTTCATGATGCAGCTAGGCCCACATGCCAGAGCATCCCAGTGTTGGGGAAAGCACCAGGCTTTGGAGTCAGAAGGTTAATTTAATCTCTACATTTTCCAACTATAAGTTATATGATCTAGGAAAATCATTTAAATTTTCAGGGTCCTCATATATGTAAATGGGATACAGTGGTCTCTCAAGAAAGACTGAGGTGGACTGAAAAATTGTGCTGAACACTGGAATTTGACACAACATTGTAAAATGATTATAAATCAATAAAAAATGTTAAAAAAAAAAAGCAAGACTGAGGTGAATGTCAAATGGGATCATGTGGGTAAAAGCACTTAATGATTCAGTCATTCACTCACTCTGCAAGTATTTAGTGAGAACTTCTCCGTGCCAGGTTCTAGTCTAGTTGCTGGAGACAACTCAGAAAATAAAAGAGATCAATTCTCTGTCCACAAGGTGCTTATATTTTTATAGGGAGAGGAGACAATAAACAGACAATTAAATATACAATATGTCAGGTGGCAATAAGTGCTTTGAAGAAATAAGAATAAGTGCAAGGCAAGGTGGAAAGGGAAGCTGGGGACGGGACTGGCTTCTCTTTATCCAGTTGACCCATCATCCTCTGGTGCCATTTGGGGACACCCGTTTGTATCTGTAAAGCTCTGCTCTGGCTCCAGGGACTGGAGAAGGGTGGGTGCCCTTAGCTTGGGTACCTATTAGGAATCCTCGTGGAAGTGTGAAATACATGGAAGTAGGCAGGT